TCCACGCACCACGTGGGTCATTTGGAAGGCCCGGCAGACCTATCCAAGTTACTCACTGTAGACAGCGCTGGCAATAATCAGATTAAGGCCAATTACGCGTGAGATTATAAAAGCAAGTGCTGAGAGGCTGAGCGGGCTGCAGACAGTTTTGCAAAGACATCTGCCCATTGGCACGACTCCGCCGAGGCCTTGTGGCTGCCTTGACGCCAGCAGCTGCTGCTGCTGCTGGTGGTGGTGCTGGTGCTGCTGCCGCCAGTCACTCCTCCTCCTCCTCCTCCTCCTCCTCTGTCCTAGTGTAGGTAGGGATGTTTTTTTTTCCTCATGGGGTATTTCTTGTCTTCGCTGGATCTGTGCGGGTGCCACTCGGACAAAGGTGACGGTCTCCAGTCCCTTTCCGGTTCTGTCAGCCAAGGGGATCGGGCTCAGTGCTGGGCGGGGGGCGCAATGCCTGCTGTCTCTCTGCTGCCAAAAGGTTCTTCTCCGAGAGGACACGCAAATAACTTCCTCCTCCGCTGGCGCTGCATCTCCACCTCCCCCCCCTCCCCCGTTAGCTACTTCTTTTTAAGAGACACGCATCATGTCTGAGGAATGGGTGGTCGGCGGGATGAGCCAGCCATTGCCCCTGAACTCGAACTGAGAAGGAGCGCGATACTCTCCACCTTTCCTTTTTGGCCAAAATCTTGCCTTTAGCAGGGCTCTAGAATGAACAGACACACCCTTTCTGTCGAGGGGATGGTGTTAAGCCTAATTCTTCTTACGGAAAGCTTCGACCCGATTAGGTTTGGGTTTGCTAAAAGCAAAAAGAAGCCCCAGAAGCCATCGGCGATGGACTTTTTGATTGCCTGCTAATGACTCTTTGCGATTTATTCCACAGCTCCGAACCCCCCCTTCGCCGCTTCCAGGGGCCCCCTCCGCTCCCGTCGCCTCTCCCAGGGCCACCATGTTCTACTTCCACTGTCCCCCGCAGCTGGAGGGTGAGTGTTGTGTCGGAGATCAAACCGTAAGTAGGAGCGCAAAGTTTTCGGTTACCTTTCTGAGAGGCGGATGGACTTCTTAAACTTGAGAAACGATCCTGTTCCTCATTCCTTGGCAGTGAGGCCGGCTGAACTCTGCGGGATTTGCCTCTGAAGGTTGCCCTACAAGTTGCTGGGCAAGGCGAGAGGAACTGAGCGCTTGGCCGCAGCTTTTAGATTAAGAGGGCGCTTCTGTCCCTCCTTCTCTCTCCCCCCCCAACCCCATTCCGATTTGGGACTTTGCAAAAGAACCCCCTTTTCCCCCCGCGCAATTTGCCTCTCGTTTCTCAGGCCGGGGAGTTCCCACTTGGAAGCGCTGAAGGAGGAGGAGGAGTATTCTCGAAAGGCTTTCGCTGCTGGGATCTGATGGTTGTTGTGGGTTTTTTGGGCTCTTTGCAGAGAGCGTTCCGACTCCTGTCCTCTGAAGATGCCGGCCACAGAGACTGGCGAAACGTTAGGAAGAACAACCTTCAGAACACGGCCAAAGAGCCCGAAAAACCCACAACAACCGGGAGGAGGGTTGTTCTTTTCAGCTGCTTGGGAAGCGCCTGGGCGGCCCGGCTGGTACGCGGGGGTCTTTGCGCGCTTCGCGGTGACATCTTGCCACCTGCCTCCCCTCTGCGGCTGGAAGAGCCGCGGGCGACGCGGGCCAGGGATGTTCGCTCTCCTCTCCTCGGCAGCACAGATGTTCTTGTTCCGCCGCTAATCGGGAAGCTCTCAGAAATCGAGGGCAGGCCCCCTCTCCCGTTCTCTTTCGCCTGCGGGTAGCATAAATCTTTCAAACCGTTTTGGAAACAGGCTTTGAAATTAGCCGGGAGGAGGGGGAAAAGGCTGGCACGGGAAGCATCTTGCCGGCAGGAGTGGTTCCAGTCCTGGTCTGGCATAACCTCTTCCCAGTTTCAGAAAGTTTGGGTCAGTTATTAAACGAATGAGGCACGGGCAAGTGTGGAAAAACCCATAGTTTGAAGTAGGGGCAGCCACAAGCAGTTTGATTGAAGTTATCCCCACCTTCCAGTATAACTTGGTAAACTGACCAAGGCCCATAGAACTGAAAGGGAGCTTACGATGCTCATCAGGGAAGGAAAAAGTTCCGCGGAGTTTACGGTTCCTCCTTCGCAGATCTAGGCAGGTGTCTTTTTCCGCTTAATGCCCGCTTAGCTTTCCTTAATTGTGATTCTGGCTTCTGAGCAAGAGGAGCCACAAGCTTCCCGCTTTCTCCTGAGTCCTTCAGGCATCCGGGCATACAGTGTAACTGGGCCTGCTTTTGGGTTCCGCCTGCTGATCTTCCCCTTAGTCCACCAATGTTCACTTGAAAAGAAACCCGGCTGATCTGAGTGCCGTTTAAGGCCAGGTCACGCAGCCGTTCACTTACCGAAGAACCTGGACTTCAGCAACGTGGATGGCCCTCCTCGATCGATGAGGCTCGGTTCCAAGTGATATGTTTAGATAATAGGGTGCTAGTCAGACAGTTATGTAAATCAACACGAATTGGGTTGAACTTGGGGAAAGTGGACTCTTCAAGGCCGAGATCTTCTCGAGGAGCAGGCCCTGCTGGTAGCCTCGAACGCAGCTTGCCAAATGTTCGGGTGGGTTACTGTTGCACCCCACCCCGACAGGTAGATTTCCATAGATTTGCTTTTAATGGGACTCTTTTCAAGTGACTATCCCATACTGGCCGCAAAAGCAACAAATACAACTTGAAGGAGTGGGCTGGGAATGATCTGCAGGGAGGTCGGTGTCACCAAGCGCGGCGCTTCTCCATCACCTTTTGCCTTCCCCGAACACCTTCGACGCAGCCCCTTTAATTCCCACCCAGCCCGACTGGAGACCTCCGTCAAGCCTGGGAAAAACGGGGACGGAGAAAAAAAAATCGTAGCCCATCATCTCATGCAAATAATTTGGAAAGTTAAGTCTTCATCGAATCTACTAGGATTTAATGTTGCATTTCTATTAGGGTTTTACACAATTTATTTCATATGAATCAGATTAAAATTATTTAGAGGATCTGTGGATGGAACTGGGAAGATGTCATGCACAAACAGGCCGAGGATAGATAGTTCGACGGCGCTTCCTCTCCTTTGGGGGTCCCCGCTCAGTTTCCTAAAGTAATTTTGGGCAGAATCAGAACTTCTGTCTCCGCGAATACGCGCGTCAGGTTTTCCACTTCGTGAGGATGCCCTTGCTCTACCTACCCGAGTCTGCTCTCTGACCTTCGAAACTGCCTGACAGTGACAACCCTCGGATTGTATTAGGCACTGATCTAGGAGGAATTTATCACACATAGATGTAGGGTGGCAAACGTACACACACTTAACGGGGAGTAAATCTAACAGGAAAAAAGTGAACCGAAAGGATCGCGCGTGCTCGTAGACGCGCGCGCGCACTGCAAAACCAGGTTCGGTCCCTAAGAGCAGCAACCCAGACCCCCAGTACCAAATCTCAGGATAGTTCCCGCCGCCCGAGTGGTTTGAAGTAGGCACCCATTAGGTGAGTCTTCAAAAGACTCCTGGCGCGTCTGAGGCTTCTACATCGATTTACTCATATGAGCTAATGGGGTCGGACCCTTTAACCGGAATGTGTCTGGTGTTGCCTTTTATCCTAAATCGTAACTCTTTGCTTGTGGACAATCTTGGGACACTTTCCGGCGGCAACTGCGGAAAGCTAAACAGACCCCGTCTCCGCCGCCAGCGGGGCTCTCGCAAAGCAGGGGGGGGGGTTGACTTTGTTTTTCAGAGCAGGAGTTTCCCGAAGCTCGGATCCTGTAAGCCCCCAAGGCTGCCTCGGAGCACATCCGCCAGTGAACAATCCCCGGGCTCGCCCTCGGCCCTCCTCGCCCAGTTTCGTGACCGGCGCCCGATCGCCAGGGTTCGGGCCCGGCCGCGGAAAGAGCTCTCGGTTAGGCAGACCCTCGGCTGCCCGTTTCGGCGAATCGCCAAATGTGGCGCAACGAAATCCGGCTCGCCGCGGTTTCAGGGAGGATGAGGAGGAAGATGCGAGCCTGGGGCGATCTGGGGCGCTTTCTGCCCCAAGCTTCTCTCTCTCTCTCTCGAAAGCCTCCCCTCCCAAGCGGGTTGCCCTGAACGAATTTCTCGCTCGCCCTTTTTTATTCCAAGCGCCTCCTCACCTTTGCCCTTTCCGGCCCTCCATTACTGAGGCCTTCCTGGACGAGCGGGGTGGCCCCTTGACTCTCGGGATTTGGTGCGGTCAAGGAAAAGGCCGGGACCTGCCCAGGCTTGTCCCTCCGCGACCTCCATTTTTACGCCTGCCTTCCCCGACCTCCCTTCAGGCGGAGGGCGTCCACTTTCATCACCGCGGCGGGGGGGGGGAGGTCGGTTTGGAGCGAGCGCTTCCTCCTCTTCCCTTCCGAGTTGCTCTTGGGAAAGAGAAAAAGGGCATTTGGGAAAGAAAGAAAAAAGCCCAGCGGGCAACCAAAGGGGAAAACACTCCTTCCTGCCGT